CATCCATTTTTCTGTATAAATAATCTTCAGGTTAATATTTTTTGTTTGATTATCCTGTTTGAAGTTGAAATAAAGTCTCCATACAAGAAGCAGCAGTGTGATCCAGGTCCTCTTGGCCCTGATCCAGCTGGTTCTGGTTCTGGTTCAGGTTCAGTGGACTGCAGTTTTCACTTGACTGAGAGTTCATGGATCCAGCCTCCCTACTGGCCTCTTCGATGGGACTCAGAGCCTTTCCGGTTTTGGACACGGCTCCCTGGTAGCCTGGCAGAGTGTGGAGGTCTTCTGTGGTCCGGTCCTGCTGGCCTGAGGCGGTGAACCCCAAGAGATCAGCTAATGACAATCCATAGTTAGCAGCACATAAGCTAAAGTTAGCAGCAAAGCTAAACTGAGTCCAGACTAAAGATTGTCTTTAAAAATCCACAAAACTAACAAATCAAAACAGATTCAAACTCAACTGGTCCAGATGAACAGAACTGATGGTTCTGTTCGTGATCCTCTCACCTGTCTGCGACTGGACCTTCACGTTGAGTCCTCTCTCCTCAGGATGCAGGAAGACGTCGTCCATCAGCTCATCTGAAGACGCCTCAGAGTTCCTGCTGGATGAGAGCCACACAGTGAGATCTGTGGATTCTGGTTCTGATGGACATGTCAGCGTCTGCACTGATCCGTTACCCAGCAGGCCTTGCAGGAGCTGACTCATCATATATCTGGAAGGAAGCGGTGCTGGTAGGTTCACCGGAGTCCAGGACCTGGACGACAGAGAGAGACAGAGGAGTCCAGCAGCTCTCATGATGAGACCTCAGAGGGACCACCAGGATCAGAACCAGAACCAGTACTTCACTGATACCTCCTGATTGGCCATGAGCTTCAAGAGCTTCATCTTCTCCTCCAGCTGCTGACTGAGCCACTCCTCTTCCTCCTTCAGACTTCTCATCTTCTCTGAGGAAACAAAACGTTTGACCAACTCAGACCAAAGACCTGAACTAAAGACTCCTTTACTGCGGTCAGTGAAGGCATCGATAAACACACAGAGGACAGTAAACGTCCCATGGTCAGTGAAGGCATCAATAAACACACACAGGACAGTAAACGTCCCACGGTCAGTGAAGGCATCGATAAACACACACAGGACAGTAAACGTCCCACGGTCAGTAAAGGCATCGATAAACACACAGGACAGTAAACGTCCCACAGTCAGTGAAGGTAACAATAAACACACACAGGACAGTAAATGTCCCACAGTCAGTGAAGGCATCGATAAACACACAGGACAGTAAACGTACCACAGTCAGTGAAGGCATCCATAAACACACACAGGACAGTAAACGTCCCACAGTCAGTGAAGGCATCGATAAACACACAGGACAGTAAACGTCCCACGGTCAGTGAAGGTAACAATAAACACACACAGGACAGTAAATGTCCCACAGTCAGTGAAGGCATCGATAAACACACACAGGAAGTAAATGTCCCACAGTCAGTGAAGGCATCGATAAACACACACAGGAAGTAAATGTCCCACAGTCAGTGAAGGCATTGATAAACACAGAGGACAGTAAACGTCCCATGGTCAGTGAAGGCATCGATAAACACAGAGAACAGTAAACGTCCCATGGTCAGTGAAGGCATCAATAAACACAGAGGACAGTAAACGTCCCATGGTCAGTGAAGGCATTGATAAACACAGAGAACAGTAAACGTCCCATGGTCAGTGAAGGCATCAATAAACACAGAGGACAGTAAACGTCCCACGGTCAGTGAAGGCATCAATAAACACACAGAGAACAGTAAACGTCCCACAGTCAGTGAAGGCATCAATAAACACACACAGGACAGTAAACGTCCCACAGTCAGTGAAGGCATCAATAAACACACACAGGACAGTAAACGTCCCACAGTCAGTGAAGGCATCAATAAAAACACACAGGACAGTAAACGTCCCACAGTCAGTGAAGGCATCGATAAACACAGAGAACAGTAAACGTCCCACAGTCAGTGAAGACATCGATAAACACAGAGAACAGTAAACGTCCCACAGTCAGTGAAGGCATCGATAAACACACAGAGAACAGTAAACGTCCCACGGTCAGTGAAGGCATCGATAAACACACACAGAGGACAGTAAACGTCCCACGGTCAGTGAAGGCATCGATAAACACAGAGAACAGTAAACGTCCCACAGTCAGTGAAGGCATCAATAAACACACAGAGAACAGTAAATGTCCCACAGTCAGTGAAGGCATCAATAAACACACAAAGGACAATAAACGTCCCACAGTCAGTGAAGGCATCGATAAACACAGAGAACAGTAAACGTCCCGCGGTCAGTGAAGGCATCGATAAACAAACAGAGGGCAGTAAACGTCCCATGGACAGTGAAGGCATCCATAAACACACAGAAAGGTAAATGTCCCGCGGTCAGTGAACAGACCTTCCACCTTCTCCTGCTTCCGCTGGTTGTGTCTTTCTGCTCGCAGCTCTTCGTAGGTCAACTCCTCTCCTCCTCTCATCAGCACATCGTTACAGAACGAGGTCCACAGGTTGGCCACGCCCCCATCCGTAGACCCCGCCCCTTCACTCACAGTCTGACAGCCTGACCTGCAGCCATCAAGAAGCCGAATGATCGGGGTTTTGACTCTTGTACAGTACAGACCAAAAGCCCGAACACACCTTCTCATTCAAGCAGTTTTCTTTATTTTCATGACTATGAAAATGTTAAATTCACACTGAAGGCATCAAAACTATGAATTAACACATGTTGAATTATACACTTTACAAAAAACTGTGAAACAACTGAAAATATTTCTTATATTCTAGTTCAACGTAGACACCTTTTGCTTTAATTACTTCGCACACTCTTGGCATTGGTCTGCACTGTGTGTTAAAAAAAGTTTATTATTTAAATCCATACACTTTATACTGAATTATAATATTTATTTTATTATTTTTATTACTTACTGACTGCAGGTGGACTGATCCAGCTGTTCTTCCATCCTTTGCCCCTGAATCAGACTAAAAACAATCAGTAAATAATTATTATGACTGACTTTTGTTCTGTCTAGAACAGAGCAGGTGAATCACCTCCAGATTATATAGCTTGTTGCTAAGTGTTTGTTTACTAGCACTTTTAGCTAGCGTTATCTGCTAATTCTAGACAGTGACAATGTGTTTTACTATTCTTTTTACTTTAGAATGAATCTTGTTAAATCGTACAGCATTTTGAGTGATCTTTTCAAAAAATAAATCAATTGAAAATGATTGATTTTTATTATAAAACAACAAAGTAAGTCAGTGTAATGACACAGAACGCTGTTTATAGTCTTTTCTTTTACGAACCGTGAGCTCGTTTTAAGTCTCGACAAGCAGCCGGGGGTGAAGAAGAACAACTATCGCGCCCTGCTTATTTTTAAAGTGTTAATAATTCATAAAAACCTTTGTTGGACTCACGAGGAAACGAACTTGAAAACAGTTCAAACAGCCCGCCCCGCTGCCGTCTGAAAAGCTCAACTTCCGGTGGCGCTTCATGTGGTGAAGCGGCGCTGCAGCGCCCCCTGCAGGAAC